CGTCTTTGCAGTAGCAGACATTAACTAAGGAGCCATGATGGAGACTCAGGGTAGTGAGGCCAGTTAAAAAGCAGCTAGAAAGTTGCCAACACTAAATACGGAAAAACTGAGCATACCCGATCGAGCCAACATTTGGTGAGGCGTATCTACAGGCACACCAACCCGCCTTCTACGCGGAAAAAGCTGTTTCAAACCATTTATGATTTAGCGCATCCTGGCATAAGAGCTTTCAAAATGGTAACTGCAGACTGCTCAGTCTGGACGGGAACCATCAAGTGTACAAAGGCCGTTTCGGTGTGTGAGAAGAACAAAGTACCAAATACATGCGGATATTGTTAGTCGCTTTACATCCTCCAAGATAAATCGCGACCCCCACTAATACGGAATGTTTCGCACTGCAGCCAAAAGCCACTCGAATACCGAGCAATGTCACACTGAATTCCCAAGTTTGGCACGTCTTTGAGCATCATACCAAGCGGGGGAACACAATTCGAGTTCATCCTTTTCATCAATCTAAATGATCACCTGGAGGCTAGTGGCTTAGTAAAGCATGTCCACCGTCAGTTAAGAGCTTAGGATATAAAGAGCAGGTTGGTTTAGAGAACTCCTTTACTTTATATCCTAAGCTCTTAACTGACGGATCACTAGCCTCCAGGTGATCATTTAGATTGATGAAAAAGATTGATACTGGCGCACCTTTGATTTTGTTTGAAAAGGCGGATAGAAGCGATTCGTAAATTGACCTCGCTATGCCCTAGTGTGTCAATCCACTAATGTTGTACTGCTTGCTTTGATTACGTTCAATATTGAACCACAACGTTTGTGGGTTGGCACACAAGAGACTAGGGCATATTAATTTATAGACTTGGTATTACGGATAGAAACAAGATAGACGCTGCAGAGACTGGTGCTATTTGGCTGATAGTAGACCTGTTTTAATATAAACGTGGTCCATGTAGCATAAAACTTACTCAGTCTTTAGCCTCGAATAAGTCACCCACACAAAAAGCAGTAGCATCTTAGTATTCATATCTTCGATGGTAAAAATTTATGTAGTCGATTGTTAAGGCAAATAAAAATTGCTTGATCGACAATCCCAACACAGAATGCGATATGGAGAACGCCTGACTTCCCATGAAATAAAGATATGTACTGTGAATCAAGTGTACTCGTGGCATATAGGCATGTCAAGATTGCATGCTGCCTTGTCATGCTTCTGGGTTGTAGATAGGACCTAGTCAAAGTCAAAATTTCAGTCCAGCCTGGATAATAACAATTGGGAAATAAAACCTTTATGCAAAATGAATGTAAAGGTCAGTTATATTCATAACATTGAGCTCTAATTATATTGTGGAAAAATTCAGGTAACTTCATTATCCTTCATTACGATCATTATGTCAAACGGAATAGGGTGAAACGAAATTATATATATGATTTGCTGATAGTGTCGAAAAACTTATCTATAATGAAAAAAGAGAAATCGAGAAGCGCAATAGTAAATCAAGTAAACACAGCTTATATATAAGTAACTGCTAGTCTTGAATACCTACCAAAAAGGAAAAAAGTAAGGCCAATTGATATATCAAATATAAATCTGATTCATTGATAATCCCAACACGTGAAATGGAAAATGTGACAGTAAAATTGACATATACCGTTACACCTGACCCTCCTTGAAATTCAAATTTGCCTTCTGAAAAAAGGGAACTCGAGGCAATATGAGATATTTGCTAACTTGTCAAGATTGCACGCTCCAGTGACACGGTCTTACTCAGGCTGGGAGTTTTGATAAGAGCGAATCTTGTTCGACACAGCAATCCACTACGAATGATAATTTTGGGGAACGAATAACCCATACGTGTAATTCAATGTAAAAGTTGTCCTCATATCATTTTTAGTAAATTGAACCATCAGTCCTTAATTATATTAAATGAAATCGAGTGAGCACAAATCCTGATTTACTGGCTGCTTCTACAACATAATCAAAAACGAAAAAAGTTATGCTTTTGATTGCCATAGCAAATATAGGTTTGGTTCATTGACAATTCCAACAAAATGTGATATACAAATGCCTGACTTTTATTGAAATTCGCATCTGCCCTATAACTCAAGGGTACTCGCGGCAATATGGCGTACCAATTAAGGGTCATTGTTTGGCTCCCGCGTGGGTTCTTGATTAGACCAATGCGAAGGCGAAACTACAGTCCACACTGGATGAGAACACATTTGAAAAAGTAAAGATGTTTGTGTAATTCAATGGAAGCTTCAGCTCTACTCATATCATTGTGGGAAAATTCAACTACCATTGCTTTGGAAAAACGAGGTCAGATCAATTCTATCAACTGAAAGGAGACTGCGATCAAGACAGTGGTCATAATACCTTGACTTCTATGTCCCCTTTCATGTAAAGGAATGGTTTCTCGCTCTGACGAAGGCTCTGGTCGGACGCATTGTAATTGCAGGAGTGTGCCGAGGCAATCTTTGCACAATTAAATACTCACAAGTAGAAGGCCTCACTCCCTTGGTATCGGATGAGGCCAATTTACGAATAGCTTATGCCCGACCTTTCAAACGAAATTAGAGGTATATCAGTGCCAAAGCAGAGAGAGACAAGGACATTTAGTCAGGTGATGATTTCAGGCTTGCTAAGCTTACGCACTAGGATAAGAGGATATTGCCAAGACGCGGAACTTGACCACTCAATGGAGTTGCCGTCTCTACCAGTGCTAGTATACAATCTACAAGTGGCTAGTAATCTATTCGATACAATGCGTGAACCAGACAGAACACCTCTCAGGCTAACTTTCTTAAGGTGGACAATGCTTTGCAAATATGTCCATCACAAATACACAACAATAAACCAACCCCTCAAGTCACGTCTAGGGGATAAGAATGTCATCTCATTAGTTAAGTGTAATTTCTTACCAAAACAGCGCATAGTCAACCACTTATTTCCAGTGATACAAAGATTAGTAAAGGAAACCATTGGTGCGGACCGCCTTTGACGAACGTTGACAGGACAAGGCAAATCAAAATAATTCGAATTACCCATAAGTGGCCAGCACATGCAGATGGTTGGATGAGGCTAACTAGTCGTGAATGAGATACCACAACAAGCGCTCGAGACTGGAAAGCGTAAGTATGCGAGGTACTTGACTAGTGGAATATTCAATCTATGAAAAAGCGTGCACCTGAGCGGACAAGACGGAAGTACAGGACCAAAGTTAGCCAAGCTTGTGACCATAAAGCGAGCCCTGTAATCTAAAAAACGTATAGATATCAATAATCCAATATAGCATCCGCGATCAAGGCCAAGGCAGGTGTACACAGACAGAATACTAGACATGGGTGTTGTGATCGAGGCCGGATAGGCAAGCAGCACAACGGAAAGGCCACAAATAATATCGGATCACATTTAATACAATACAAAATTAAACCTTTTCATTTTAATTATTTCGGTCCCACCAAATCCACACAAAAAGGTAGCACTGGACGAACTGAACGACCGCCTATCTAACAAGGATAGATTAGTAGAAAATCTCAAGCCTGGTTAGAAACTTGTAGTGCCGATCTGGCGGAGTAAAGGCATCATTAGATTTAGATGCATGTGAAACCCACTTACTAGGGGTGTGCTAAGGGAGCCCGGTGCCACCGCATGTCGTCGTAAATGAACAGGTTGTCTGCGGGAGACTTGCTTGTCATCAGAACCAAATTAGCATTTGCTGAAGCCTAAGCGCAAAAATGAACACACGTCTAAAATAAAACTAATCAATGTTTATTCTTTTTTATCGTTAGATACTCTAGGAGATACTTCGCCTTCCACATGCCAGGCCTCTTCAAAGGCCGTACATATCCTAGAGCAAGTCTGTGCAGCGGAAAGAGGGAAATGGCTAATAGATATAAGCCGATCCAAAAAATCACCAGAGGTAGAAAGAATTGATCCATGAGCCATTGCGCCTATTACGAACACAATTATATCTTGTGATTCAACAGCAAGTTCACGGAGATTTACAATATCCGAAGAGACCGACGTACCAATTTTGAGCGAGCCAGGCGGAAAATATCGTGTAACGGGGTTTTTTACAATCTTAAGCAATTTTTCACGATTACCCCCAACAGCATGAATAGACAGTTTATGAAGAAGCTGAACCATCAATCCACAGAATCTGTCAAACGTTCTCGGTATCCGAATCTTGGGGTTAACTTCAATTATTATGTTTTTTGTTGTTCTGATATATACCTGAAAGAAATTTTTTTTAATGATGAGTCGCAATGGAAATAAGGTTAACACATCTAAGAGGGAAAGCAAATAAATATAGAAGCTAGGATAAGGATAGAATTGGAAGCCAACAGTATTTAACTGGGCGACCAGAGGGATTGTGATAAAGCATGAGCAATGGGACTGAATGAGACAAATGTGCGGTGTGGATGGACTGAGTCACTCTAGCGGACATAGGACAAACACTAAGAGACAGATACAAAAAAGGATAGGCAACAAAAATTAGTAGAACACATGGTCCGGGTGAAAAAATCTGGGGTTCAAATAAAACCCTCTA